CGAGAGTTCAAATGGGCATAGCATGCCTGATAATTCACTGTATTCGCCCCGCCCTAGCGGGCAGGTTCAATGCTTCATCGGCACTGGCGGCAAGGCAGATTTGTTTTCCAGTATTCAAACTGTTGTTCCCCACGCACTCTCGGGCGAAGTTCTCCTTACCTCAGATACCACCTGCGATGTCTTCTGGGTAACAGAATTTGCTTGTAATCTGGGCACACTAAAAAAAAAACGTTGTCTCTCTCCTTCCTCTCTCTCCGCATCCCACGATGCGTTACAGCTTCCCCCTTCAGCTAGTCTGTTCCGTATGGACAGCGCATCCCATGCTCACCGACCTCAGTCCCCTTCGTCCAATCCCTCCGAGTTCCCCGTTCACTTCGTCCGTATCTGCGGCGTGGATGAGGCACTCCTCGCATGCCGCCAGAGACTGCCCCGTCTCATCTGACTCCATCTTCCTTCCCGCCACCTCCCTGGCGTGTCTTTCCCCCTTGCTCAAACGTGCTGTGCTCGCTGAGGTGTACGCCAGGGACGCTATTCCCTGCGACTCGTTGACCTTTCCTCCTTCAGACGCGATCCCGGGCTGGGTACACCTGGTGCACTCTCCCCCTTCCTTTTTGCCACCCAGCCTATATCCTCTAGTACCAGAAGACGCTGCCACCAGTACCAGTGCACTCGCATTTTCAAAGACAGACCCGGTACCAACACTTTCCACTTTGATCAAGGACCAAATCTGGACTGTGAGACCCTTCATGCCAGGGCCTCAGGAGCAGGTGCAGGGATACCGACTGCAGACCCATCGGTGCCACCGGATCTGTATCAGGCTTAGACTTACTGATCCCGAACAAMCCAATCCGGAGTATTGCAGGTCGTTCCGTTGTCAACCCAATAGGGAACCAGGACAAATGTCGATCCTGAAACGATCCCGCAAGACTGAAGGAGCCGAAACCTGTAACATCCGTTCCGAGCCGTAGCAGCCCGTACCACACCCACGCTCCACCGAACATGTCCCGAACCAGAATGTCATGCCGCTCCAGAAGCAACTACTTGAAACAATCCTTCTGAGCTGTCTATATCGAACATGAAACCGACGCAGAGACACGTACCGTATCGACGCCGGATACCGTAGAAAATCAGAAAAACCATGATAGTACCAAACCTGTTTCGGACTTGAAATCCGAACCCCAATGAACGGGAACAGGACGTAGTACCCAGTCCCAGTGTTGTGCCAGCATCAATGGAGTGAAACACAGCAGCCCGAAACAGATTTCACCAGAAAGTACCACTGTCAAATCGTTCACTACCGTTCCTATCTCGAACCTGAAAAATAAAGTGGCTATGGCTTCAGACGCTGAAATAAATTGTCGTGTCGGTGCCGTTCCGGAACTGAACTGTTGGAGTCGTGTCGTAGGTGACCTAAAAACGAACTGCAGTCAGGGTTCCAAACCTGTAGTGGCCCCTGTCCTAAGAACAAATCACCACAGCTGTCCCGAACCTGAAAATAAGTCACCTTAGTGAAACAGCTGTCACCGGGCCTATACTGTACTTGGAACACGTCGGACACCGTAGGACGTAACCACTCCGTATCAACCCTCGTATCCGTACCGCACCAAACACCATAGTCGACCCAAGGCAGCACCTGTCCATGCGACCCCCGYTCTCAGAACATCCCAACTGCGTTAAGGTTAGTAATCAAGCAACCAGCGAAAACGACGCAGGGAGCCTCGGCCATCGGCAGTAGTGGAAACTGATAAAATMYGGGAAAAATGCTCAATCCGGGCTCAGGGCTGGKGGCGGGTAACCAAAGYGAAATTAGCCCAATCTCCCAATAGTCATGGGTTCCCGTCTCTTTTATCGTTTTTAATCATTCTCCCCTTTCCTTAATTCTGTTGTCGGAAATAGTAAATAAATCGTAAGTTCCATAAAATTCAATCCCGGGAAAGTCTAAATAAATGACCGATTTCCTTGTGTTTCTTTTCTCTKTTATGATTTTTAATCTTTTTCTATGTTTTTAATTTAAATGTCAGGAAAATAAAATAACAACGGTTTTTTTCCCCCTAGATTTAAATGCTGTAAAAAAAAAGAAGAAATTAGAGGATATTATGTCTTTCCCTTCTCGCCTACTGGTCTTAGCCCCTCTTCCCACCTTTAATTATGGTACTAAAATAGACGAAAATTTGAGGCCCCGTTTCGCGCCGGTCGTATGCTGCAAAAACGTTGTGGCGAGGTCAACTCCCTTGATGCCTCTCCGCGGGGGGTCAATCCCGGTCTAACCCTCCGAACGGTCGGAAATGGCAGTCCCTAGACACGCCGAGTCCGGTCACCCATCTCGCCATCTTTGAGGGTTACTCATAAAGCTCAGTGCGCCCAAAATCAGGGGTGCCTGAGTTCCCCTAATTTTTGCTGCTTGGTCTTACGAGACTTCCATCAAAACACGGATCTGGCCCTGATCCTAAGTCGCAAAACTGCGGATCTCAGGCGGCGCACTGCCTGTGGCCGCCTGACAGTTAGCCCAGACCACTTCTCGACGTCCCCGTCGAGCCCCTAGCAACTTATGTCAGATGAAGCGGACGAGCTTCAGGGTTATGGTCCGTAAAGGTCGCCCACGTCGGCGTTCAATTGTCTTATGTTTCAGTTGGGTATGTGTCCTGGGGCTAAGAAGATGCTTCTTGACTCTCCTGTTTCTTCTGGTTCTTGGCCCTGGCACGATCCTCTTTTTCTTCTGTCTTTGCCCCGAGAAGGGTGTCGACCCGCCAGTACGTCTAACGCGAATTCTCCGTCTAGCTCGCTTGAGCACGAATAACCATCTCTTCTCTCTTCCCAAAGCTAACCCTTTGACCTTTCTCTTCTCTATCCTTTTCCTTTTCTTGGAACTCTTCCCTGCTTCGAATTGTCTCAAGGAGAACCTAGCCCCCGCCACTGGGTCCTTCCACTTAGATCCGTCTAGTTCTGCTATCATATATGCCCCCCAGTCAAGTGCCTCAACCACTCTGTAAGGTCCCATCCACCTATTGGCAAGCTTTCCGGTCCAGGTCCTCTCCAGTGCCGCGTCGTAGAGAAGGACCATATCTCCTACGCTCACCCTCTCTTTCCTGATTCGGACGTTCTTATCCCATCTCTCTTTACCCTTGTCCCTTTCCACTGCCAGACGATCGGCTGCTGTCATATGGTTTTCTTCCAATCCGTAGGCTATCTGTCTTGTTCGAGCAGCTAAGAGTTCCTCTCTGGACATCTCCTCTGCCCGGTCGACGGTTGTCCAACTGTCGACGTGAAACTCTATGGGTAGCGGACAATGTCGTCCAAACCACAAGGTGTATGGTGGGTATCCGGTACTAGCCCGGACCGTGACATTGTCCGCCCATATCGCGTATCGAAAATATCGTGGCCAATCACTGTCTCTACCCTTGCACCACTTGGACAGTGACGCTATCAGAATCTGATGTCCCCTTTCTACTGGGGAGTTCGACTGTGGGTGATAGGCGGTGGCTATCGAAACTCTCGCGCCGGCTCTCCTAAACACGCTCTGGACCTCGTCGGCTAGGAATTCCGCCCCTCTGTCCATCACTATCTTGCCGACACATCCATACCTAGATAGGTACTCTAGGACAAAGTTCTTTACTTCCTTTGCCGCCTTACTCCTGATAGGTCTACCGTCCACGAACCCAGTGAAATCGTCTCGTATGTTCACGGCATAATTCATATTCCCTACCCCTCTCGGCATCTTCACCAGATCGATGTGTACCTTCTCTCCTGGTCGCGTTGGATAGGATGGATGAAGCGGTTCTTTGTATTTCACAAGAGCTCTCTTCTAACACTCTTCGCATGTCATGCAGTACCTCTCGACGTCCTTATACTGTCCATCCCACCAGTACAGCCGGCGTATCTTTTCGTAGGTTCCCTTGATTCCCCTGTGTCCTCCAACTACCCCGTCGTGAAGTTCCGCAACTATTGTCTGTCTCTCCTCTGGGTCACAGACTACTCGCAAGGGCATTCCCGACCCTACTGGCCTTCGGAAAAGGTGGCCCGCTCTAAGGCAGTACTGGGCTGCTTGCCTTCGGATATCTGAATCTTGACTCTCTTCTCCCGTCAGGTGTAGTCCGATCATTCGGTACTTGCCCTCGTAAAGGTTAACTAGAAATCTCTCGGCGCGCCTCGGTTCTGCCACTGTCAGAGCCCCAGCTACTATCGGACGTTCCAGAGGGATGCGTGAAAGTCCATCTGCCACGGCATTTTTCGTACCAGATACTCTTTCGACAGTGTAATCGTATAGCCGAATCCGTATTAACCATCGGGCGATGGTCGGGTCCGTCAGACTAAAGTCCTTCTGGAGGACTGAGGCAACCGCGGTGGGGTCTACTCTCAAGATGAACCGTCGCCCATAGATATAGTGTATGAACGTGTCTAGACACCGGAGAACAGCTAACACTTCCTTCTTGAATTGACTGTAGTTACGCTCAGCCGTATTAAGTGTCCTACTCTAAAATCTTAACGGTCTTTCCTTCCCTCCAGCGTCCTTCTGAGACAGCAAACCACCCACTGAACATGGTCCAGCATCTGTGGACACTATGAAGGGTCTCTCGGTCTCATCGTCAAAGAAAGGCACACCCAACACGCGTCCTCCCTCCTTAAATTCGTCTTTAAGTTCTTGCATTGCGAGTTCCTGCGAAGAATCCCAGTATAATTTTTCAGTCTTTCGAAGGAGTAACCTCAATGGCTCAGCCTTATCCGCATACCCCCGTATGAATATATGCCAGTAGCCGACCACTCCCAGAAACTGCCGGACCTCGGTTGCGCTATGTAACGGTGACGGCCAGCTTAGGAGTTTGTCTAACTTCGCCGGGTCCGCTCGGCGTCCTCTCGAGTCACAGATAAAGCCCAAGATCTTAATAGTCGAGACGACCCATCGGCTCTTGGTTCCGTTGACTGTCAAATTCGCATCGTCCAACTGCTCGAGTACCGCGCAAATGTCTGTTAGGTGCTGCTCGACGAATCTTCTAACTCCAGGTATAACCTCTGTCTCATCCCTGTCTACTGGTCCTTTTATAGGAAAGTCATCCAGAAAAACTTCAACCTTATCAGGGATGCAGTCCTTGAGGACGGCTACCATGGCTCTCTGAAAAACGGCTACCCCATTAGTCCAACCCATAGG